GAAAAAAAAAAAAATATATATATATATATATATATTTTTTTTTTTCTTATATATTTTATATATATTACATTACATATATATATAATACATATGGACTCTGGCATATTGTATGTGTATATATATACATGTATCCCGCTCACCGCCACGGCCGCCGGGTTCAGCGAGAAGGTCTCGTAGTAGTTGTGCCGGGTCCAGTCCAGCGAGTCCTTGAGCTCCGGCCGCGCACTCCGCTTGGCCTCGCGGATCCGCTTCTTGCTCTTGTGGTTCATCCTGCGGAGTCGCCAGGTGGTTCCGCGACGACTTCGGCGCAGCCCGCGTCCTGCCACTAGCGCACCCCACCCCGGCCCGAGCGTCGGCGGCACTGGGATACCCTCCGCTTCGGCCCGGTGCCTTTAAAGTCGCCTTCCAGAAAATTCACTCCCCAGCCACCTCCCGAGCCCCGGGTTGGGCGTGCGGAGGCCGTCTTCCGCGCCCTCCCGCCTCTCGCGGTCCGCCATTGGCCTCGGCGTCTCCCGGGCCCGCCCATATATCGTGCCAGGAAAGTGGCATTCTTGACTCCTAGTATTTCTTTTAATCTTGTTGAAGGGCATAATTCATCTTTATCTCTCACTTCCGTGTGAGTTCTGGGACCAGGGATTACAATTCTCAGTGCCCGAATAAAGTTTTTTGGTTGGCAGTCCCTTCTTCCTTTGAGTTCACAGCAGCCACAAAACTCAGTAACTATATCTTACATGCGTTCGGTTTTTCAAAACACCTTCACGTTGCAGTGTTTCATTTGATATTAACAGCAGCCTGTGAGGTAGGTATTAGTAATCCCATGTTAAAGACGAACCAGCTTGAGAGAAGTTAAGAAGTTGGAGTGGGACCCATTTCTGATAATAGTCTTCAAATAGCTTCACGTGCAAATACCGTTTTGGATTTCTTCCTAAAATTAGGGGTGAAGGGCCGACCTGTGGTGCACTCGGGAGAGTGCGGCGCTCCCGCTGCGGGTTCAGATCCTATGTAGGTAGGGATGGCCAGTGCGCTCACAGCGCTCACTGGCTGAGCGCGGTGCGGGTGACACCGAGCCAAGGATTGCGATCCCCTTACCGGTCACGAAAAAAAAAAGACAAAAAAAAAAAAAAATTAGGGGTGAAGATGTTCTCTGTGAAAAGAGGCCCTTATTCTTTATACCCAAGTCTGTATAACTATCCTCCCATCAGAAATTTTCTTTATTGTACTCTTTGGTAAAAGCCACCAGGTCAGACATATTTGGCTCTTTTCTTCATGCTGTACCCTTACTTAGAACAGTGCTTCGGGCCGACCCCGTGGCGCACTCGGGAGAGTGTGGCGCTTGGGAGCGCAGCGGCGCCCCCGCCACGGGTTTGGATCCTATATAGGGATGACCGGTGTGCTCACTAGCTGAGCGTGGTACGGGCACCACGCCAAGGGTTGCGATCCCCTTACCGGTCACAAAAAAAAAAAAAAGAAGAAGAAGAAGAACAGTCCGTGTATTTTAGGCATTAAGCTTTTGAGTGGATTGAATGATTTTTGGATCTCCAGTCCCTTTTACCTTTGATACTTTTACCTCTTTGGCCTCCTTTTCTACCACCCCACCAGGGGCACCCTTTGCTCCAGAGGACAGAAAGAAACTTGCAAATTTGCAGCTTAATTGCAACTTTGAGTGCTTGCTTTTGTGTCCTTGATATTGAATCTTACTAATCGCCCTATTGAGACAATATTTTGCAGTAGAGGAAACTGAAGCACTGACAGGTTGAGTAACTTGTGTGAGATCACACAGCTAGTAAATTATAGATCTAAAATTTGAACCCAGGCAGGTTCATTCCAGAGGTGTCAGCTATGTTATCTTGCCTCCCTAAACACCATGATGTCATGATTCTAAGTCCTTTCCAAAGACTTTGTATGTTGCCTGCCTTCTTGGGATTCAGCTCCACTTAAACCTCTCTGAGGATGTCTTCCTAGGACCACACTGCTTCCCTTTAGCATACCAACTTATGCCTGGGCTTAAAAACCCTCCATTTTTTTCTTACGGCACTTATAATAAAATCTGAACTTCTTCCTCTGGCCACGACTCCACAGGTCTGGTCCCTCCCTTACCTCTGACCTCTAGCTGCACAGCAGAAACATGCCTCTGGCTGCCATGTCTATCTCGCTATGGCTGCTTGGTCCAGCCACTGAGACCTTTCGGTTCCTGCTTCAAGGTCTTTATCCGAATCGTCCTCTTCCTATCTAGAGCAGCCACTTTAGAGTGTAATGGGGGCATGGACAACTATAACATTAGCCTGTTTTACTGTTTGTGGCATTTATCATTAACCAAAATATTTGCTTCCTTTTATTGCCTTTCTCCAGTAGGATATGTGCTTCATGAATGAGAGCTACATTACAAGTATAAAAATGGTCTCTGATACTCAGGCGCCAGATAATTACTTGTTGAATGAGTGCTGTGAAGAGTGCTTATCATGTGGCATTGTAGTTTTATATCCCACAGGTTGTGAACTGAAGAGCAGGACTGTCATTTTTGTGTTGGATGCCAGTGCCTGACACAATAATTGCTGTATAAATAAATATTCCATCTTACAGCAGATAAGTTACTTACGGCATACAAAAAAATTCTTTTCAGGTCCTGCACCTCCAATATGGGATGTACGTTTGGCCCTGTGCTGTGGTCCTGGCCCAGTACCTGTGGTTTCACAGAAGATCTCTTCCAGGCAAGGCTGTCTTAGAGGTACATGTGCCCCTGAAGTTTCCAAAGCCCTGGGTTATGTTCAGATTTAAATCTACATGCTCATTATTAGCTTTTGTTAAATATTTTTGAATTGGGTGGTTTGGCTAGCTTGTAAGGTCTGTGAACTAAGAAAGCTTTTTGCTTTTTTTTTTTGGCTGCTGGCCTGTACAGGGACCTGAACCCTTGACCTTGGTGTTATCTAACCAACTGACCTAACTGGCCAGCCCATGTTTTTTACTTTTTAGAAGTGTTGTTTAAAGAAAAAAAAATGTGACAGAGACCATAGTCGGCCTACAAAGCCTAAAATATTTACTGTCTGATGTTTTACAATTTGCTGGCCCCTACTCTAAATGAACTCCATTGATTTTCTTGGCATTAGTTTGGGAAGCCATTTTTCTTGGTGTCCCGACAGGGTCATCCAGGCTCTACTGTAACACTTTGCAGTGCTTTTCACATTCAGGCTGCTATAACAAAATACCATAAAGGGTGGGTTGTAAATAGCAGATATTTCTCACAGTTCTGGAAGCTGGGAAGTGCAAGATCAAGACACCAGCAGATTTGGTGTCTGGTGAGGGCCTGAATTGTCTTTCTGTCACTTTCTGTATTCTCAATGGTGGAAGAAGGAAGGCAACTCTCCAGGGCCTCTTTTAAGAGCACTAATCTCATTCATGAGGGAGGCCTCATGATCTAATTGCCTCCCAAAGGCCCCACATCACATTGGGAATTAGGTTTTCAAGATAAGAATTTGGGTGGACACATTCAGACTGTAACGTAGTCATTTTCATTTTTGGAAATGTTGACTGCTGAAGGCTTCGAAAAATAAATTTTATCAAGGTTGCAGAGATAGTAAACTTTCACACTATGCTTAAACCCAAAGGCTGAGTAGACAAATTAGAAGTTTAAGAACATAATTGTCTAACTCTTTACTTTTGCAAAACTGTGTAAATGAAATGAAGGGTAGGATTTCACACACTTCTGGCCCAAAGTGGTTAGACCTTCAGAAAACAGAATCTCTATGTCCATCCTCAAGCTAGAAAACAGGAAGCTTGTATTTCAATCAATATAAATGCTAATACAGATGCTCAACATATGATAGGGTTACATCCCAATAAACCATCAGAAGTTGAAAATATTAAGTGGATGGGCTAGCCCGTGGCTCACTTGGGAGATCGTGGTGCTGACACCACCAAGTCAAGGGTAAAGATCCCCTTACCGATCATCTTAAAAAAAAAAAAAGAAAGAAATTAAGTGGAAAATGCATTTAATATACCTAACCTGCCAAACATTGTAGCTTAGCCTAGCCTACCTTAAACCTGCTCAGAACGCTTAAAACATAAAGCCTGTTTTATAATAGTGTTGAATGTCTAACATAATTTATTGAATACAGTACTGAAGTGTAGATTATACTGAATGGGTATCTTTTGCACCACTGTAAAGTAAAAAAATCCTAAATCAAACCTTGAAAAACTTTCAAGGCCCAGCTGGGAAATGTGTTGCAGACCTGTTAGGTAATAAAATTGGTACGGTAACTGAACAGCTGGCTGTACATGCAAGTCATCCTTCCAACACTGAGACCTGGCATCCTATAGAATTAGATGTTCCTTTACTTACAGGTCATGTTAAGAAAATTGAGTCATGACAGATGGAAGCCATGTGTCTCTAAACGACTTCCTTGTGCATAGCAATGAAATGATGAAACTGCTTGAGATACAGTACTGAATTTGGAAGCAATACATTTGTCAGTTGCAAAGTATAAGGCCCTTTAATATTGATATGGAAGTAAAACTGTATAATTTGTTCTTACTCTTTTACCCAGTAATTAGAGGAACCACAGGAATTAACTTGTAACAACTTCAAAGCCTAAGCTCCTTATACAGATGTTAATTATGGTACGTGTTATAGACATGACAAACCCACGGAGGTGCTTAAAAATTGACTCTGTACTTGTTAAAAATCCAACGAATGTGAAATTATCTGATGCAGTTCCAGTTTTTCTTGTGGCTGGCCAGTACAGGGATCTGAGCCCTTGACCTCTGAGCACAATTTTGAAATGTCATCTTTTAAACTTTTGTTACTAGATTGGAGCTGGAGTGAGCCTTCCAGGAATTTTGGCTGCAAAATGTGGTGCCAAAGTAATACTGTCAGACAGCTCAGAACTGCCTCACTGTCTAGAAATTTGCCGACAAAGCTGCCAAATAAATAACCTGCCACAGGTACATGTTGTAGGCCTAACATGGGGTCACATATCTCGGGATCTTCTGGCACTACCACCACAAGATATTATTCTTGCATCTGATGTATTCTTTGAACCAGAAGGTAAACTTTTTTACTCAACAGTAAATTTGGCCAGAGATGCACAGTAGTGGAATCTATTAAGAAGTCCTTTCTTCTCAGATTTTGAAGATATTTTAACTACAGTATACTTTTTGATGGAGAAGAACCCCAATGTCCAATTGTGGTGTACTTATCAGGTTAGAAGGTAAGTGTGAATAATCCTGGTTTACTCTCAATTTTATTAAATAGGCAACTTGAGCCTTACTACCCACCCTAATGCTTAAAGATAAAATATTATCTGAAGCAAAACAGAAAAGGCAGGATTTTTTTTTTGGAAAAAAAAAAATTTATTTTTTTTTCAGTGCTGACTGGTCACTTGAAGCTTTGCTCTACAAGTGGGATCTGAAATGTGTCCATATTCCTCTGGAGTCTTTTGATGCAGACAAGGAAGATATAGCAGAATCTGCCCTTCCAGGAAGACACACTGTTGAAATGCTGGTCATCTCCTTTGCAAAAAACAATTTCTGAATTATACCTACAAGCCTTTCTGGGACAATGTCAATGCCGATTAGCAAACCGCCATGTAAACTAAGATCCGATCACTTCACCTTGAGAGAAAATGCAGTGGGCTTGAAGATGCACAAGTCTGCTGGCCTTAGATTGTCATGTGTCACCTAGACAACACTCATGGGTAACAACAATGAAAAGAAAAATTAAAACATCTATGGAAAAAAGGACTTGGGTTGTTCCTTAGTTACTAAAATAGGGCATAAAACAGATTGAGAAGGAGATAGGGATAGTGACAACCTGAAGAAAGTGCTACCTTAAAGCACTGAAAAATTTTAGGTGAACTGGCATTTCCACTTTTTAACTTAGTAAATTAAGTACTAAACATTTCACTTTCACACTATACAGTAATATTCACAAGATAATTGCATAGGTCTTTTTAAATAAATGGGAAAAAAATGACCAAGACATATTCTGAGAAGAGCTAACACCAAAAAAACATTTTAATTAAACTACAGAAACAATGGTTATAGTACAGAATATTCATAAGCAAAGATACACCATGTTTTAAGTACTTACAAAGTTACAAACCATTTGCTTCCTTAACATTTTCCATATTTTAAGTTCATACATGAAGATATGATCAGATTTACCATTTTTGGGGGGAGGGGGAAAAAAGGTGTATTTATCACCAGCTAGATGTGCTCACTGTATGCTCCGTTATTTATATGCAAGGCCCGGGTGACTGGAAGTGCAGTTGTCAGGCATTTTAATAAACTGGACAGCCATTTGTTTCTGCACGACAAGGCATCTTTACACAGGAGCAATCAGGAGAAAACAGGAAACAGCCAAGCACTCTGCACTGCAACACGCCACCTTAACAGCTAACCAGCATTACTCAACTGCTACACAACTGCGCCTAGTGCACAAAAATACATAAGAGAAGAGATTAGAATTGTGTTTGGTAAACAATCCTTTCAAAAAAATCAAGTCTTTTCACCTGAAAAGTCTTTATACAAATTTGGGTTCAAATTACCATTTTAGACCTGAAGGTAAATAACATATACAAATTTACACCAACTTTTGTAGGTTTTTAATTTTAAGGAATGAAGGCAATGTTGAGTCAATCTCTTGACAGCTTTAGGCTGTATGTAATGGCTGCACACGTTTCCTTAAAAATCAGGAGGCCACAAATTAGGTTACCAATCTGTTTAATTTCAAACAAAAAAAGTCAGCACTATATAAACAAAAATGAAATTTTACCTCAAACATCCAATCCAATAATGAAATCTGAAGTCGTTCACCTCACTAAATTACAAGAAATTTGAATAACAGCAACAAAATGGCACATAAAATGAAGCTTGCCACCTGAGGCAAAGCTTAAAACAAGTAAAAAGTTAGACAAATGTTACAAAATAACCTTTTCAATAGCCAGTTGCTTGTTCCAAAGATTCTTCCACGGACTGAGTATGTGGTCCTTTTCCCCCAAGTCCTCCATTACGTTGCTTGCTGATACATCTAGGTTTAAAAAGAAATAAGTTCAGTTTACCTTCCTTCCATTACTATGAAGATACCAAGGGTGCATCTGGTTTCAGTTTCAGGCATGTACTAAGGCTCTGGTGAAACGAGTAGGTTACAGTAAGGTTCCACCCAGCCACTATTTTTTTAAAGGCCCAATTAGGAAATTATCACAAAGGCTACCATCAGCATTTATGAGTTCGAACTTGTGTTCTTGGCCAAATAACCAAGGTAAAAAAAAAGTAAGGTTGTTCCTTAGTTACTAAAATAGGGCATAAAACAGATTGAGAAGGAGATAGGGATAGTGACAACCTGAAGAAAGTGCTACCTTAAAGCACTGAAAAATTTTAGGTGAACTGGCATTTCCACTTTTTAACTTAGTAAATTAAGTACTAAACATTTCGGGAAAAAAAAAAAAAAAAAAAAAAAAAAAAAAAAAAAAAAAAAAAAAAAAAAAAGAAGGGGGTCTGTATCAAACAAAAAGTTGAAATTAGAAAATTAGTCTATATTTTAGATAAACTTTTCAAGTGAAACACTTGGCAATTGAGAATAACTAGTGCTTTAATATCTGAGCTATGTAGGGCCCTTTCCTTTTAAAAAATAGGACCAAACAATTTGAGAGTTAAAGACACACTATCCTTTCCCCACCCAGTGCAAATACCTGTAAGTTTTCTTTTGAGGTTCCAAAAGTTCATTGCTTTTTATTGCAATTCGTTTGCCACATCCATCAGAATATAAACTCCCAGTCAGTACAACAATAGTTGAACTGATTGTTTTTCTCTAAGAGGATAGTGCATCTTTAACATTTAAAGACAAACCTGCTCCAATACACGCCCACAGAAACTGGTCCCTGGAGGATCAGCCAAATCAGTTAAAATCTGCAATACTGGCCAATATTCTTTTATCAAACAGGAGACCGCAGCTTTAAAGGGGGAAAATGCAGACGTTGGATAAAAACAGCAAGAAATAGTCATTTTCATTAATAGGTCTCAAACAGTTTATGAAACAGCCATTATCATCTAAGTTTCATACACATCCTTTCTGCAGACCCCTCACTTCAGTATCACTCCCAAAACCTGAGTAACCTCAAGAGCAGTACTCCTTGCATTTGGAGTCACTTTTATATCAATACGGCTCAAAAACCTACTCCAAACCCCATTATGAATTAGGATTGTGTCTCGGATCCCCATAGACATTACCATTTTCTTAAGAGGACACCGCTCCTTCCTCTTCAGGAGACTTGGGGGGACTCTTGGATCGCGACCTGGACTTGGACTCCCTCTTGGACACGGGGGGAGGACTCCTGGACCTAGATCTGGACCTGGATCGCGAACGAGATCTGGAGACCGACGAGGACTTGGACTTGGACCTTCGCGCAGATCTGGATTTGGAAGTCGACCGAGAGCGAGAGCGAGTGCGGGACCGAGACTTCGAGCGGCTGTAGCGAGATCGGCTGCGGGACCTGGATCGGCTCCGACTCCGGGATCGGCTGCGGCGACGCCGCCTAGGGCTGCAGGCGGGACAAGCAGCACATCAGGGTTAATTCAAGGCAGCCGACCGGCCCCGCCCGCGCGCTCCCGCCCAGGCCGCCATTATCTCGCCGCCAGACGCCATTTCGCTCGTCGCGAGGCGGGGTCTTCGCCCTACCTCCCCGGCCCCGCAGCTGCCCAGGTCACAGGGGGGACGAGCCCGCACTGTGGTTCGAGGGTCGAAGGTCGCGGATGCGCGACGAGCGCGCCCCGCACCACGTGCTCCGCCCGTGGACCTTTGTGAGATATCTCGGGCCTCCTGCCCCGCCTCCCGCGGCTTCCCGAAAGCCCACCGCCCCGTTTACCTGCGGCTGCGGCGTCCGCAGCCGCCGCCCCCGTACCTACGGGGTGGCGGGCCCCGGCGGCTATGGTGCGAGTCCGGGGGGCGGCCGTAGCGCGCCATCTGCACCCGCAGCTCGCGGCCGTCCAGCACGGCCCCGTCCATGGCGTCCATGGCGTCCTCGGCGTCGCGCTTGTCATGGAAGCGCACGAAAGCGAAGCCACGGGACTCCTTGGTGTAGCGGTCCCGCGGGATGTACACGTCGCCGACGCGCCCGTACTTCTCGAAGACGCGCCTCAGCGTGTCGGGAGAGGTGCGGTAGGTCAGGTTGTCCACCTTGAGGGAGGTCATACCCTCCACATCGGGAGGGGGACGGCCGTAGCTCATGGCTCTGAGAGGCGGCCCGGGCCCTGCGAGTTGGCGCCGGCTTCCTCAGGTCAGGGCAGTGCGACGCCGCACCTCTTCTCTGGCAGTTGCCTCCCGCGTGGGAACGCTGGGAACGGCCGGGTGGGAGAGGCCAGCAGACAAACAGTACCAACGAGCGCACCTGAGCAGCAACTGGGCGGGCGGCCGGCCCCAACGCTCGTTTATATCCCGCCTCGACAAAATGGCGCCCGCGCCACCCGGAAATGAATCCTCTGATTGGCTCACCGCGTCCCGAACCGTACCCTCGCTGCCGCGCGCCCCGCCCCTGCCTGGTGCGCCTGCGTAGATCCCGGCGGGCGGGCCGAAAAGCGCGGAGTCACTGCTGGCGGGAGGGGGAGCAGAATATGTGGGCAGTTGGAAAGCCCGCGAAACGCCCTTTCCGCCTGCGAGGCTGGGCGAGAGCGCACGGGCAGGAGGAAGAGGAGGTGCTCCCCACCTGGGCCCCGCCTTCTTTTCATGCCAGTATCCCAGTTCCCCTCAGCTTTTCTCCTCAGCCCCGCCTCAGGGGGGGTACTGCTCCCCCATTTTCCTTTCTGTGTCCCCGGCCTCCTCAGAACCCACTACGTCGTCTCGAGGAGCCCTCTCTTAGTTCCCAACTGCTCTTCACTGGAGTCCGCTCCCCATACCCCCTTCGCCTGGACCCCGCGTGCTCAGCCGGCCGCCCTCACCAGGGGGGGTGGGGAGCCCTCGCGCCGCGCCTGCGCGTCCCGGGCCGTCCAGGACTACATTTCCCGGCGGGCCGGGCGGCCGGCTCTGCGGCTGCGGTAACGTGACCCGGTCCCCTGACTGGCGGTGAGTCAGGGCCCGGTGGGCGGGGCCGCGCCGGCAGCTGCTCCTCACCCTTGGACCCTTAATCCCCCCGCGGGTCCCTCAACCTGGATCTTCCTCGGGTGTCGGGTTCTTCCCTGCTCGGGTCGTATCCTAGGAATGTCCTGACTTAGCCCGTGGGGAGAACTTCACCCCGAGCCCAGGATTCCGAGCCGAGAAGTGGAAGTTGAGAGCCTGGCCGCCTTGCTCCCGGATCTGACCCGGCCTGTCGCGTCTCATTTCTTTCCCCAGGATTGTCAGTGTGTCTCGCTCCCAGGAGAGCTGACTGCCCTGGGCTGCTGCTGACCTCCGGCAGAGCTGAGCCAGAATGTCCCCGGAATCTAAAAAGCTGTTCAACATCATTATTTTAGGAGTTGCTTTTATGTTTATATTCACTGCCTTTCAAACTTGTGGAAATGTGGCGGTGAGTTGGAATCTGTTCTCCCTCCTTTGAAGTGCTGCCTGTCATAGCGCGTTCCCAAAATGACAATAAACGTTAATTGTATCTAATAGCACGCTTAAATTGTACCTTTTATTTTCCTACCTAGCCTTTCTCGTTTTATGATTAGGTTTGATTATGTGTGTCAGACGTTCCTCCTTTATGGGGTTTTAAACATTGCTGTTTATTTCTCCGATTTGATTTGGTGTTTGGAAGTTGACTTATTTAATTCTTGGCTGTGTTAAGATCTACTTTAGTACTGGGGGGTTAATGAAATAAAACCCAAGGCATAGTTATAGCTGGTGGCCCCCCCTTCCCTGTCACTGGTTTGTCTTTTCCAGTTCTGTTGTCTTTTTATTTTCTTACAGTAAACTTTCAGTATTAAGGATTAACCATGGTTAATTTTGACTTTATTCTCTGAGTACTTGGAGTCGGACTTTCCAAAGGGGAGGGAGATCGCAAAACGATTTTGTTGATTAGTTTTATTTTCCACACAGCAAACTGTCATCAGGAGCTTAAATAGCACAGATTTTCACGGCAGTGGATATACCAGGTAATCGTACTATGTGATTGCTTTAACTTTACATGAAATAGCAGTTGCTTAAATCTCATCAGAATCACCAGCAATAAAATACTGTGGTTGAATTAGTAGTGATTGCCTTTTTCTTCTCGGTATCTAGACTATTTGGGAGAACATAGTAGAACGAAGGTGATGAGTTTAGGTTTCCTGTGGAATTAGACATTGGGTTTCAAATTTGGCTTTATCTTAGGCCAGTTTCCTTGCTCAAGTGATATACGTGAAGCACTTGGCACAGTGCATGACATTTAATAAGCACTCAAGTGTTGTCACGATTACATTTTCCCAATCCTAAACAGAAGATGGTTTATGTGATTCTTGGAACATTTGGTCTTCCCATTTTTGTAACTTCATAGCAATTAATACCTTTTTTTTTTTTTTTGGTGCTGGCTAATATGGGGATCCAGACCCTTACCTTGGTGTTGTAACACTGTAGGGCTCTAACCAACTGAGCTAACCATCTAGCCACTACCTTTTTTTTTTTGCTGGTGGCTGTACAATTTAGTACTTTCATCAGGAGCTTTTAGATTTTTGTTGAGATGTTAGTCCCAATTCTACAGATGAAGAAAATGAAAAGACCTTCATGAGTCACTAGTACCTTGTGATGATTGGAGCTAGGAATGTAACACGTACATGTATATAAATACACACAGGTTTTCTTTTATTTTTATTTTGGCGTCTGGCCTGTACAGGGATCCGAATCTGTGACCTGGGTGTTATAAGGCTGCACTCTAACCAACTGAGCTAACCAGCCATCCCTAATTTATTTTTTAATTGGCAAATAAAAATTGTATGTATTTATCACTTACACCATGTTTTGAAATATGTATACATTGTGGAATAGCTAAATCAAGCTACACAAACAGGTTTCTTAATTTCTCTGTAGTTAGGATATTAGGTCATGCTCCTCCTCCCCTGCAACTCTTCTTATTTGGTTCTTTATCACCTATCTTAAACCTTGTATATGATACCTGAGAAGAGAGGGTAATTTTTATTTTTCTAAGTGATTAATTATACCACAGCTTTTTGTACTGCTTTGTCTTCTACAGAACAAATTTGTATTCGAAAGAACAAATGAAAGAACATATTTGATATTTGAGACATTCATAGAAGCCAAAGAGTTACTTACTTGGGATTTATAAATAGTGACTAGTAATTAATTCAGGACCCTCAAATGGTTTTAGTCACACTTTGTACAAGGTATATGTCCTAGGGCTGGGTCAGTAGTAACTGAATAATGTTCTAGTGAGACCACTGAGTCAAATAAATTTTGGTTTAAGCAAGTTATAATTCTTTGCTTGTTATTTATAGCACAGAAATGTCACGCAGTTGCCAGGATTTGTAGGCTTAGTTTGTGGAGCAGACTGGATGACTAGGGCCTCTGGAATCAGATTGCCAGGGATGGGATCCTGGCTCGCCATTCACCCACCTAGACTTCGAGCAAGTTACTTAATTCCACTATATTTCAGCTTTCTTTTCTGTAAAATGAGGATAATAACAATACCTTGTTCCTAGAACTGTTAGGATTAAAAGGGAAAATATATATAAAGTATTTGACACAGTGTCTGTTATATGTTAGCTGTTATTATAATTTAGCAGTAAAGTTGATCCTTGAACAATGCAGTAGCTAAGGGTGATGACCCTCAAAGCAGTAGAAAATCCATGTATAACTTTCCCCGCAGTGTTGTTACTTAAGTAGTTAAGTAACTTAAGTAGTTAAGTACTTAGTTAGCCGGGTGGAACCTACACATAAGAAAAATCAGCCTTCCCTTACTTGGGTTCCACATCCGTGAATGTTGTGTCTTTCATCTGTGGATGTAGAACCCGCATATAAGTGGACTTGTGCAGTTCAAACCCATGTTGTGCATGGTCCACTGTACATTAAAAACATGTTGTCTTAGGCAAACTGACTCAAGGAAACATTTGATGGGACTTTAATATTTTGTACAAATGAAAGCTTTTGTATGGTATTCATATGAAATATTTTAATTTAATGATACAACTTAATATAATTACTATAAATTCTGACTAAAGAATATGAATGTTTATTGCAAAATCTGTAGACTCAAACTAGACTTTAAGAAGTGAGGTTTTGAGACAGTGCTTAAGAGTTTTGTTTTTTTTTTCCCTTTGGTGTGTTATGAATGTAGCATGGCAATTATTTATGGAGTTTTCTCTGCTTCAAATTTAATTACACCATCGGTGGTTGCCATTATAGGACCTCAACTCGCTATGTTTGCCAGTGGTTTATTTTACAGGTGAGTAGTGTAATCTTCTTTTGCTCATTTTATTAGAACACTTTCAGCATCTTTCAAGCACACAGTAAACTTTGAACAAGAACTTGCAGACTTAGATTGAATAAAATATAAGTGGTGTTTTAGGGATTTAGGCCTCTACCTGTTGCTAAGGGATATACCATATTGTTCTAATGTGATGGAATGTATGTATATCTACTTTTGTTTTACTATTAATAAACATAGTATCAAAAAATCCTTTTCCATGAGGGTTGAAAAGAACATCCCATGAAATAATTGTATTTTCTAACAAGTTGACTAACCAGGATTCCAGTAAAATGAACTAAACATTTTGTTGGGCTCTGGAGCTACAGTTCCATCATGTGCTAAGCTTTTGGCAAAGGCCATTTCAAACCCATAAAACGTCTGATGTTACAAATTTGAAATTGTGAATTAAGAAATGAATAGGTCACATATGTCCCTTTTTTCAAAACTAGAGAGGTCCTTTACAGGTTGAATTTTAAAAGAAGAGAACCCTGAGAACTGATTCCTAGAAGGCATGATTAGCATTCTATTTCAGGTATTGTTTGACTGTAATCCGTTGACCTGTTATATTTTAGCATGTACATTGCCGTTTTTATCCAGCCTTTCCCATGGTCCTTCTACACAGCCTCTGTTTTCATTGGAATTGCAGCTGCTGGTGAGCATTTTGGTTTTTATCTTATCTGTTTTCTTTTCTGAGGCCTTTCTAAAGGTATCATTTATGTGTTTAGTATGTAATGCTAAGTGATTTCATTCTTTTGATAAACTTCTGGTTTGAATTTTAGTACTTTGGACATCACAAGGAAACTGCCTGACAATAAATTCAGATGAGTACACTATTGGAAGAAACAGTGGAATTTTCTGGGCACTCCTGCAGTCTAGGTAATAATGCTTTTGGAGCTCAATCTTTCCTTTGATTGATTTAATCTTTTTTTTTTTTTCGATAACACCTAGTTTTTAAGTCTCTGTTTTGTTGAAAATACAGATTTTCCATGATATTTAAGTTAAGTTCCTAGCTGAATATGATACAGATTTAAAACTTTATAGAATTACTTGAAATGAATGGGCCTACCCCATTGTAACTTCTTAGTAGTAAATACAAAATATTAATCTCCATATATTTAGCATCTGCTATGTTTTGGAGATGATTGTTTTTTTTTTTTAAGTCGGGTCCTTAATTTCACATAATTCTCACACAATCTCATGAGATGAGAAGGTATTAGATATTATCTCCATTGTATAGATGAGAAAACAGAGAGACTTAAACGTTAAGTAACTTATCCAGTTTAGGGCCGAGCCCGTGGCGCACTCGGGAGAGTGCGGCACTGGGAGCGTAGCGACGCTCCCACCAGGGGTTCGGATCCTATATAGGACTGGCTGGTGCGTTGAGCGCGGTGTGGGCGACACCACACCAAGGGGTTGCGTTCCCCTTACGCGTCACGAAAAAGACAAAAAATAAAATAAAATAAAATAAAACTTATCCAGTTTAAACCATCATTGTCTGGACTCCAAAGGCTACATCCTTCACATGGAGCTACACCACCTGGTAGCAGTTAACAAATATACTACAATTCAAAAGTGAGACTAATTATATCAAGAACGAACAATATAGCATATTATATATTTCCTAAGAGAAAAGCAAAAACAGTCATCATCCTGCTTATGACTGCTGGATTTCAGGAATCTGAAGATTTACCTTCAAGGATCTTGCCTCAAATTTTGGCCTTGACAAGGCTTAACAGGTGCAAATGTTTAGTTTTAAGGGGTTGTATATTAAGAAACAGCAGTGTAAGTGAATGATTCCTTCCCTGGGAAAGTATGCTGAATAAAGTGTCTGATAGGATGCAGATAACGAAATTATAGGTTTTTTAAAATTTAGGATTTTAGAAGTAGCATAAGTTTGTTTCTAAGGAATTACTTTCAGAGTTCCAATACATCACGTGTTTCAAAGTGAGTCAGGTCTTTTTTTTTTTTTGAGTCAAGTCTTCTTTGAGGGACAGCTCTGAGTCAGGCGGCTGTCACATGGAGGGTGTCTGAATTCCATCTGGGTCAGTTAAGTTTTTCAGAAAGTCAGGGTGGAGTTGATGCTTCTAAATGACCTACGGCAGGTAGATACTTTAAAAATTATGTAGTGCACATGCTCTCTCTCTCTCAGTAAATAATGGGAATAATTGCTTTTTTTAAAAAAAACATAAATATTAAGATAATTTCCCGATATCCTTCCCTCCCTCTTTTTCCCCCAGCTTATTCTTTGGAAATCTCTACATATATTTTGCCTGGCAAGGGAAAACTCAAATATCAGGTTTGTTTTATTCACTTTGCTTTATTCAGATATGTTCAAAGCATAATAGCATTTCCACAAAAATACTCATTGTTGCTTTATTCAAACATTATCCTAATGAACCTTGGTACTTCAAATCTCAAATTTTACCTTTTACTAAACTTTTTACTTGGATTATATTACTAAAGTAGGATTATGGTTTATGACTGTGCTTCAGGAGGCATCTCAAGGTATGAAAGAAGGTTTTGCTGTGTGCGAGTGCAGTAGTCTGTCATCAGAAGACTTGAACGCTCAGTTGTTTTATCTGTACATTTCTTTGATAAGAATATTATTAAGTTCTTGTGTTGTTTTCTTTTGGTTTATTAGTATTTTCTAACTGAAAGACAAAGGTGGAAGTATTCTATTTATCTCCTCGCCCTAAGTTTTTACTGATGCATTAAAGTAAAAATTTAATGAGGAAATGTTTTGATGGTATAAGCAACCCTGGACATAGTACTAATTTTGGAATTGTTTGGTAGATGCTATCTACTTTTTTCTTTTTTTTTTCTCTCCTAGAGAGTGACCGAAGAACAGTGTTTATTGCCCTGACGGTGATTAGCCTTGTGGGGACAGTTCTGTTCTTTCTCATTCGGAAAAAAGATGACCGGTAAGGGGATCTTAACCCTTGACTTGGTGTTGTCAGCACCACGCTCAGCCAGTGAGCAAACCGGCCATCCCTATATGGGATCCGAACCCGTGGCCTTGGTGTTCTCAGCACCGCACTCTCCCGAGTGAGCCGCGGGCCGGCCCAAAGTAAAAATTTAATGAGGAAATGTTTTGATGGTATAAGCAACCCTGGACATAGTACTAATTTTGGAATTGTTTGGTAGATGCTATCTACTTTTTTCTTTTTTTTTTCTCTCCTAGAGAGTGACCGAAGAACAGTGTTTATTGCCCTGACGGTGATTAGCCTTGTGGGGACAGTTCTGTTCTTTCTCATTCGGAAACCAGATTCTGAAAATGTCCTGGGGGAAGATGAATCTTCTGATGATCAGGACATGGAAGTCAACGAGTAAGAAGTTGGAAATATTCCTTTCTATATTAAAATAGATTTTGAGTAATCTGGTCTAGAGATTACCAACCTGTTTAGCCAACTGGTATCTGATACTTTGTGTAGGTTACCAGGGGCATGACATGAGGGAAAAGTTTTCAAGCAAATAAGAAAAGGAAGAAGATAAAGGGGAATCTGTGAGGAAGGAAGAAAGAAAAGGTCAACAGAAGAAGAGAGGTAGTGGAAAGGTATCCTGGGAATTTAAGTATATTCCCAGCTTTGCCACTGACGCATGTGTGGCTCTAGACAGTAGCAGTAGTCCCGTCAATGTCTCTAGGCCTCAGTTTCCTCAGTCAGTTCAGCAGATGCCCTGGGTGTTTTTATATGCAAGGATATGGGCTTATAAAGTGAAATAGAAAATAGTCTTTGCCCTCAGTTACTGTTTCTGTGGTCCAGGTCTAAAGTTTTCCAATTCTTGTGGTCTGAGTGAGTGGCAGGGCCATCACCAGTTGTCACAGATGAGCCCTGGTTGTGACCAGGCTCTTGCTCATGGTACCTGGCTCTTACACTAACTTATGCACGTGGTATTCCCCAAAGTAGTATGTAGCCCTATGTTTTTGTAAAACAAGTATATAGCACAATGTTTTTGTAAAAATTGTGAATTACCTGAGCGCATTGCAATTGTAAGTGACACTATTTACAACATCACAGGCAATTTCTCTGCAGTATCATGTAGAATTGAGGAATGGGAAATGAGAAATGAATCTTTGCCACCCTTGTTTTGCATTGTTAATTGACAATTTATGAAGATTGCCTTACAGCGTTTTATCTGTTGTTAAAACTTTTGCATTGAGCATTCTGTACTGTCTTTTTAATCCAGAAAGGGTCTAAAATTCTTCAGTTATAAAATCATTAAGTGTTCAAAATTTGCACTGTTTGTTTAAAGCAAAAGAAAGGTGGTACTTTGGTTTAGATATATAAGTATATATGTGTGTGTGTTTGTATATGTATGTATTACATATATACATTTTTTTTTAACACAAACCAGTAGATACTGGAGAAAAGGTCTGTCTGTGAAGATGAATACCACAAATTCAACAAAAATTAAACATCCATTAATTCAGCAAATGTTAGGTGTTGGTGCTGTGGAGAGAGACACAAGCCACCCCTGTTTTCAAGGAACTTGGCTGCTGAGTGGAGGAGACAGACAGGGATTATGTAACTGTGATGAGTTGTGCAGTTCTTACAAATACTGCTCAGTCTTTTTAGCATTCTGCCTTCCTGAGTTGTCTCCCAAACTTGGAGCCTCTGTATCTTTGTTCTACATATAGCCTGGAGTTATATGCCAGCCTTCTTCTAAACCTGGGAGATATAGGAGTGAACAAGACAGCTAAATCCCTGTTCTCAGGGGACTTAATTTTAGAGGGGGTGGTGGACAATTCACATGTAAGAAAATATCAAAGTAAGTGTTAGGGAGACAGTGAAAGAGGGGGTGGTGCTGGAGAGCCGGGTGGCTCCCTGAGACCTGCCTGGTGAGGAGTAAAGATCAGAGAATGGTCATTGCCAAGGCCAGGTAGTAGATGGGGGACAGGTGGACCCCCAGCTTGCAAGGATGAGGGAGTGGAAGTGGGAGTGTCTGCGGTAGGCAGAGTTAGATTAGGGATATGCATCTTATTCTTGGTGTGATTAGAAGCCATTTGAGGGTATAAGTAGGACCTGATTTTAAAGGATCCCACTTAAAGGTCTCACAGAAAATTATCTGAAGGTGCAAAAAGGCAGCTCGATATCTGTCTTTTACCTCAAGTGCTTAGTTTACATCTCTGAGGATCTGTAGAAATGCCTGGTAATCTCTAGGCATTCTGCATTAGCAGTTGCCTCTGTGCTCCCTCCCTCCCCCTGCCTTCATCCCTCCTTTCTTGCCTGCCTCCCCTCCCTTCCCTTTCTTTCTGTCCTTTCTCCTTCCCCCTATATCTGAGTGACTCAGATATTCCAGGCTTTGTTTGGAGGACACTGCGTTGAACAAAACAAATAGAAGTTTGTGCATTCATGGAGCTCACTTTCTAGTGGGGGACATACTGGCCAGCTACCAAAAAGAGAAAAAAAAAGGGACAAAAAATTTAGCCGGAGACAGAGAGAAAAGAAAGAAAATTGTGTTTTGATTTTTTTTTTTTTTTTAAAAGATGACCGGTAAGGGGATCTTAACCCTTGGCTTGATGTTGTCAGCACCACGCTCAGCCAGTGAGCGAACCGGCCATCCCTATATGGGATCCGAACCCGGGGCCTTGGTGTTAACAGCACCGCACTCTCCTGAGTGAGCCACGGGCCGGCCCATGTTTTGATTTTTAACAGGTTTATTGAGATATAACTCATAGACCATACAACCCACCCATTTAAAAGTACAATTCAATGCTTTTTAGTATATGGTATTCACGGAGTTGTGTATTCATTATTACAACCAATTTTAGTACATTTTCGTTACCCCAAAAAGGAGCCTTGTACCCCTTAGCCATCTGCTATTTTATCAGCACCATGCTCTAACCAACTGAACTTTAGCCAACCCCCATGTAGTATTTTAACTAGGACAAGTATAAAGCAGGGAATGGGTACAGAAGTATGGGTTGAGTGTGGAGCGTTTGCAGTTATAGACAGCATTGCTAGGGAAGGCTGAGAAGGTAACATTTAGGTCAAGACCTGAAAGAGGTGAGCTAGTTGTGGTTTTTACTCTGGAGTGAGATGGGAAGCCATTGGAAAGTCTGAAAGAGGACTGTAATGATCTAACCTAATGTTAAACTTTGACCCACACAAAGCTGAGGTACTGGGGGTTGTCTTATTTTAGAATTCTTGTACTAAAAATGCCTTCCTTTAATACCTCACTGAATTTAATTGGAAGTGATTTGTAGCTGAGTTGATTGTACTATTTTGATAGTCTGTAGAGTATGAATCAGTTCCTGCTTACTTGGGGCCCGAAGTGTAAAATATTGGAATCCTACATTGGATCCTATCCAAGTACGAGATGAGGGTACTACCAATGGAAGGCCTGAGTTTTATGGTGTGCAAAAAGTTTTTCTGTTAGAACATACTACCTTTTTCGTGTCAGTAATTTATTTGTTAAGTCAACTGGATCTTCATTAGGTTTATTTTTATAAGCAATATTATTTAAAGATATGAGAGAAGTAGACTTGGCTGGTAGGGTAAGAAATGTAATCTTTTTTTTTTTTTGAGCGGTAAGGGGATCTCAACCCTTGACTTGGTGTTGTCAGCACCATTCTCAGCCAGTGAGCACACCGGCCATCCCTATATAGGATCCGAATCTGTGGCCTTGGCGTTATCAGCACCGCACTCTCCCGAGTGAGCCACGGGGCTGGCCGAGAAATGTAATCTTTTAAAAACTTTCTCACCATGATCTTATTAACAATTATATTTTAAATTATACTATATCATTTAATTCCCACAGGTAAGTGGTAGTGTTCTTATTTTACCAATGAGGAAATAAAACTTATAGAAATAAAGTCACTTGTCTAAAATCACATGATTAATAATTGGCAAAGCCAGGTCTCTGACTCCAAAGCCCATATTTTTTTTTTTTTTTTTTTTTGTCTTTTTCTGTGTCCGGCAATGGATCGCAACCCTCAGTGTTGCCTCCGCACCGGACCAGGGACCGGCAACGGGACCGCAACCCTCGGCGCTGCCCCCGCGCCCCGCTCAGCCAGTGAGTGGGAACTGGTCTGCATGTGGGATCCGAACCCTCGGGCGGGAGCGCCGCTGCCGTGCTTCCCAAGCGGCGCACTTATCCAGTGCGCCACCGGGCCGGCCCAAAAGCCCATATTTTTAACCAATAGATTATTCTGCATCCCAACCATATCAAACAGAGGGTAGTAACGGTTTTGAAGACTTTCAGTGCTAAGGAACTTACTTTTTATTACATAGTAGGGTGGTGGAAAATCAAGTACTCACAGATTATATTTGTAGTCAGAAAGCAGCAGGATAGAGGGTATTTTTGTCCTGGCTTGAGTATCATTTCTGAAAAAGATGTGTGTGAGTATGTGCAATAAATTTAATATAAAAGAATTGTCTCCCATTGTTAGGAATAAAGATGTGCTCAGGTGGCATTTTTTTTTTTTTTTAATTTTACTTTTTAATTTTTTTTCCTTTTTGTCTTTTTTTGTGACCGGCAATGGATCACAACCCTCAGTGTCGCGCCCGCACCGGACCGGGGCCGGCAACGGGATTGCAACCCTCAGTGTTGCGCCTGCACCTCGCTCAGCCAGTGAGCGGCCGGTCTGTATGTGGGATCCAAACCCTCGGCGGGAGCGCTGCTGCGCTCCCAAGCGGCGCACTGTAGCAGTGCGCCACCGGGCCAGCCCCTCTCAGGTGGCATTTTAAACACATTCTCTGAACCAAGGATGTGTGGGCTGTGAAGGGACACTCGGGAGTGAGGTGCATTGACAGTCACTGGAAATGTTTGCCAGACCATGCAGAGGACAGAGCTTTTACAAACTTAAGTGAAAATGTGATGGTATTTTTGTTTCCTTTTTAAGTTTCAAGGGAACAAACTTTTGTTTTTTAAATTTTATTTTCTCAGGTCTGCCCAGAACAATATGACAAAGGCAGTAGATGCATTTAGTAAGTATTTTCTGTATCTGAACTGCAAGAACTGTTCAGGAACAACTTCAGCATTTGCCTTTTCCCTTTTCCCTGGTAACTTTGAACTTTGGATTGACGATACCCCAGTGTGTTTGTTTTTCCAGGTATGCTGCTCTGAAATACATTAGCCTTCTCCCTAAATCTCTCTCTAATGTGGGGGTGTGAGGGACAGATGCTAATATGACTGCCCACCTGAGCATGTGTGTGAGGGAGGCCAGAGGAGGCCGTAAAGCACACAGGCTCTCGGGAGCTGGGAGTCTACTGGAAGTCAGCACGGGAAGGAAGAGCAGATTGCTTGTCATCCCTCAGAGCCAGGCAGTAGCTCCCCTGGCCCAGTAGCTAGTGAGAACAATTGTGCTCATCCACTGAGAGTTCTTACTGGCCAAGGACTCTGCTAAACTCTATATGTTTTACTTTATGTAATTCTCACAACAATTCTGTGAGTATCCTATAATGTATACCTACCATTATGTTCATTTATAGAAGAAAAAACCAAGGCTTAGAGAAATAAAATAATTTACCCAAAGTCAACCAGCTAGTAGTAGGTGGCTGAGCTGGTGTTCAAGCCCAAACAGTCAGAAGGTAGAGACAGCGATTCTCATAATGGGATCTATGGTTCCTTCAGAGACAGGCAGCCGTGGCTTCTGACTCCGTTGAGTTCCATTTGCTTCTGCTTACAGTTGTCTCAGCTTCTTTCTCTCCAGAAGAGAGAATCTGACTGAGGCGGTTACTCTCCCGCAGGGAGCAGCCTTTTGGGGCCATGTTTTTTTAGTAAGCCCATTGTAGGCCCTTGGGCCTTATGACCTCATGACCTTAAGTACTTGTGACTAGTGTATAGGTTGCCTCCGGCTAGAGTGCAGATTCTTAATCTAATCAGCTGTGGCCTGGCTCAGATGACACAAACCATCACAACTTTTGGCTGAGGAATTCCTGCAGCCTCTTTTTTCAGAAGAGCTGTGGGCATCACAGACTGAGCCTTGCGTACATAGTATATCACTGTTAGAACTGTTCTGTCAGGCTTTTATACATTTCTTTCTTTCTTTTTTTTTTTTTTTTAAAGATGACCGGTAAGGGGATCTTAACCCTTGACTTGGTGTTGTCAGCACCACGCTCAGCCAGTGAGCGAACTGGCCATCCCTATGTGGGATCCGAACCCGGGGCCTTGGTGTTATCAGCACCGCACTCTCCCGAGTGAGCCACGGGCCGGCCCAAGGCTTTTATACATTTCTTATGTTTCAGGAATACATTAGTTATTATAAATTGGGCTACATGTGATAATTAAAAGGGATATAGCCCGACTCCCCTAGTAAGATGAGAGGTCACCACTGTCAAAGGTGGTCTGGCTTTCAGCTTTGCAGGTCTAGAAACTTGTCTGTCAGAAGACCTATTATTGACCAGAGAGGGGAAAGGACTGAAGAGGAATAAACTCACAGAAATGGCAGTTTAACAATTTATGATGGCATTTAACATTTTTTAAGGAGCCCTTGCATGGATATTCTCTTCTTGTTATCAGGGGTCTATCATTTCTTGTTATCAAGAGAGCCACATTGGCTTCCTTGGTGAGCATGGAGTCAGGAAAGGGAGGTTGATGACCTTCAGGCTAATGAGTGGTTCCCCAACCATGTCGAGGCTTGATGCAGCCTCCCTGCTCCATTACAGAACCCCCTCTGGCTGTCTGTTGGTGTTAACCAGAGTCAGGACAACCTCCTAGATGGATGGACAAACTTTGCCTCATCTCTCTTTGTAAAATGAGGCGCTAACACATTTATGGCTACATGCTTTTCATCATGGAGCTAGTTGATTACTTGATGGGATCGCGTTGTTATAGGATATTGGGCTGTCAGGTTTGAGTAGGGAGAAAGAAGGCAGCAGCCAGAAAAGGTCAGGCATATAACATGCTATAGGGGAAGCAGGTTTAGGGGATGGTTCCTGGACTGTTGGGGTGCACCATGAGGTTATGAGTTGGCGAGGGAGCCAAGAGCAAAGAGAGAAAGGAAGAATGGCAGAGCTTCATGTAGCCTGTGTGAGGGCCAGCGTTCATTTATTAATTAATCATGACATTCCTTCAGTTGGTGCTGTGATGAATATTGTACAGAGAAGGTTTCTACTGATTATCTAAAAGCACTTAGTTCCTGAACCGAGTGTATAAGTTTAATGTGATTCTAGGACATTTCAGTGAAATTTTTTAAAATTTATTTTTTGATCTTGACAAAACAGTGCTAAACTTCATCTGCTAGATTTAATGTCTGAAAACAGCCAAGAGGATTTTTAAAAAGGAGATGAGGGACTTATCCTGATGAACATTAAAATCTGTTACGAATATGAGGGCACTTCCACAAGTTCATGGAAAGCTTTGTATTATCTTTCAATTCTATTTTCCATGAATTTTTAGAAGTACCCTCATACATTTGAAAACATAAGAATAGCAAGACCAGTGGAACAAAGTCTAGAATCAGGTTCATGCCCATATAAGAATACAGAATATCATAAAAGTGCATCTTAAGTGCTGACTGCATAGAAAAATGTATAGATGCATACTTCTCCTTACACTAAAATTCTAGATAGATTAAAGATTAAATGTAAAAATGAAACAATAAAAGTAATTGAAGAAAATAATTGGGTGAGAAAAGACTTGCAGACAGGTAAATCAAACAATAAGGGAAAAGACTGTTCTTTGGTGAACTAAAATATAAAATTTTAGTCTATCAACACAACCTAACAAAGTTAAAACGGCAAGGAAGATCTGGGGACGGTATTTGCAGTATATGATGAAGGGCTGTTATGAACCAATGAGAAAAGCATTAACCCTCCAGTAAAAAATAGGTATTTTACAAATGTAGAAAAAATTATTGTAACTTATGTATAAAAAATGCATATTAGAAACAGTTTTCTACTGAATTTTTTTTTTTTTTTTTGGCGGCTGGCTGGTACAAGGAACTGAACCGTTGATCTTTGTGTTACAAGGCCGTAATCTAACCAACTGAGCTAACTGGCCAGCCTTTGAATTTCAAAAGATAAAAAACAATTTTCTGTATTATGAGGGGTAGGTACTTACACGTATAAGACCACACCACTGATAGGCTATATATTTGTATTACCTTGTGAAAAGTAATCTGTCAATATACTTTAAAAATGTTTATAATTTTGCCCCAGTGGAATAACCAGTTCCACTAATAAGATTATCCTCAGGAAATAATTAAGAATTTTTGCCAAGATTTAACTAATAATGGGTTTATATTAGTGAGAAATTGGAAATAATTGAAATATTCAACTGAAGCATTACATCTATGCAATAGATTACGCTAGCCATTAAAATGACCTCTGCAAAAGTTTTAAGATATTTGCTTTGTTATGTAAAAACAAATTATAAAATAACATATATAGTGGGATTTAATTTTATTTAAAAAAAAGCATGGAAAAAGTCGAAGAAGATTTATTAAGGTGTTAGATTATTATTTTTTTTAGTAGGATAGCTTTATTGAGGTGTAATTCACATACCATATGATTCACCCATTTAATTTAAACATTTCAGTGCAAATTCAGTACAGTTTATTATATCACAGAGTCGTGCAACTAACCATCACCACAATTTTAGAACATTTTCATCACTCCAGAAAGAATCCCTGTACCTATTAGCAGTCACTTCTCATTTCCATCCCCCTCCCACCCCTCACTTCCTGCCCCCATCCCTAGCCCTAGGCAACCATGACATTAACCTATTTTCTTTCTGTCTATAGATTTGCCTATTTTGGACGTTTCATATAAATGGAATTATATGATATTGTCTTTTTTTTTTTTTTTTTTTTTAAAGATGACCGGTAAGGGGATCTTAACCCTTGACTTGGTGTTGTCAGCACCGTGCTCACCCAGTGAGCTAACCGGCCATCCCTATATAGGATCCGAACCTGTGGCCTTGGTGTGTTATCAGCACCATACTCTCCCGAGTGAGCCACGGGCCGGCCCTGTCTTTTTTTTTTTTTAAAGATGATCAGTAAGGGGATCTTAACCCTTGACTTGGTGTTGTCAGCACCACACTCTCCCAAGTGAGCTAACCGGCCATCCCTATATAGGGATCTGAACCCGTGGCCTTGGTGTCATCAGCACCACACTCTCCCAAGTGAGCCATGGGCCGGCCCAGAAGAACAAAAGTTCTAATTTTTTTCCCTCTAGCTTTATTGAGATATAATAGATAAATAAAAATTGTATGTATTTATGGTGTACGACATGATGTTTTGATATATATATATATATATATACACACACACACATACATTGTGAAAAGATTACCACCATCAAGCTAATTAACATATCCATCACCTCACATAGTTATTATTTTTGTGTGTGTGATGAGAATATTTAAGATCTACTTAGCACATTTCAAGTGTGCAGTAGAGTATTATGAATTATAATCACCAAGCTGTACATTAGCTCTCCAGAACTTATTCATCCTGCCTATCTGAAACTTTATACTCATTAACCAACATCTCCCCATTTCCCCCATCCCCAGCCCTGGTAGCCACTGTTCTACTCTCTGTTTTTATGAGTTAGACCTTTTTACATTCCACATATAAGTGAGATCATGTAGTAGTTGTCTTTTTGTATCTGGCTTATTTTACTTAATGTATTGTTCTCCAAGTTCATTCATGTTGTCCCAAGAGGCAGGATTTCCTTCTTTTTTTATGGCTGAATAATATTCCTGTGTGTGTGTGTGTCTGTGTCTATACTACATTTTTTTAATCCATTCATCAAAGGGCACTTAGTTATTTTTATGTCTTGGCTCTCATGAATAATACTGCATTGAACATGGGAGTGCAGAGATCTCTTTCAGATACTGATTTCATTTCTTTTGGATGTATGTCCAGAAGTGGGATTGCTGGATCACAAGATAGTTCTGTTTTAAATTTTTTGAGGAACCCACATACTGTTTTCCATTATGGCAGTACTAATTTACATTCACACTAACAGTATACAAGGGTTCCTTTTTCTCCACATCCTCACCAACACTTGTTATCTTTTGTCTTTTTTTTTTTTTTTTCCTTTTTGTCTTTTTTCGTGACCGGCAACGGATCGCAACCCTCGGTGTTGCGCCCGCACCTCACTCAGCCAGTGAGCGGCCGGTCTGTATGTGGCATCCGAACCCTCAGCGGGAGCGCCGCCGCACTCCCAAGCGGCGCACTGTAGCAGTGTGCCACCGGGCCGGCCCATCTTTTGTCTTTTTGATAATAGCCATCTTCACAGCTGTGAGGGTATATCATTGTGGTTTTGATAAAAGTTTTTAATTTTTTTTTTCAAAGATGTCTGGTAAGGGGATCTTAACCCTTGACTTGGTGTTGTCAGCACTATGCTCTCCCAAGTGAGCTAACCGGCCATCCCTATATAGGGATTCGAACCCATGGCCTTGGTGTTATCAACACCACACTCTCCCAAGTGAGTCACGGGCCGGCCCAAAAGTTTTTAATTTTGATGAAGTTCGATTTATCTATTTTTTCTTTTGTCGTGTGTGCTTTTTGTGTCCTAAGAAGGTTTTGCCTAACCCCAGGCCACAAAAATTTACTTCTATATTTTCTTCTAAGAGTTTTATGGTATTACCTCCTAGATTTAGGACTGTGATCCAGTTGTAGTTAATCTGTGTGTATGGTGTGAGGTAGGAGTCCAACTTGGTTCTTTTGCATGTGGATATCCAGTTATCCTAGCTGAAAAGTCTGTTCCTTCTCCATTGAATTGTCGTCTTGCCATTGTTGAAAATCAATTGACTGTATATGTAAGAATTTATTTCTAGATATATACAGCTATCCTATGCTAGTACCATGCTGTGTTGATTACTGTACCTTTTGAAATTGGAAAGTGTAAGTCCTCCAATTTTGTTCTTTTGCAAGATTGTTTTGGCTCTTGAGGGTCCCTTGAATTTCCATATGATTTTTTGGGTCAATTTGTCAATTTCTGCAAATAGATTGTGTGTGTGTGTGTGTGTGTGTGTGTGTTCTTTTGCAAGATTGTTTTGGCTCTTGAGGGTCCCTTGAATTTCCATATGATTTTTTGGGTCAATTTGTCAATTTCTGCAAATAGATTGTGTGTGTGTGTGTGTGTGTTTTAATAGTATTTTTTAGAGCAATTTTAGGTTCATAGCAAACTTGAGCAGAAAGTATAGAGAGTTCCCATATACTCCGTACCCCCACACATGCATCACTTTCCTCTGTTATCAGCGTCCCCCAGCAGAGTGGTACTTGTGTTATAATTGATGAACCTACATTAACACATCATTATCACTCAAGGACCATGGTTTACATTAGGTTTCACTCTTGGTGTTGCACATTTTATGGATTTGGACAAATGTGTAATGATGTGTATTCACCATTGTAGTATTGTACAAGATGATGTTTTAGAATTTCTTTTTGTTAGCTAAATCTTATTATTCTGAAATGAACATGCTTTGCCAGTGTAATTTTTTTTTTTTTTTTTTTTTTTTTTTCCTTTTTTTTTTTTTTTT